GCTACCAAAAGCGGCTCCCAGGCCAGCGCTCCGCCGGCAGCGGCGGCAGCTACCAAAAGCGGCTCCCAGGCCAGCGCTCCGCCGGCAGCGGCTACCAAAAGCGGCTCCCTGGCCAGCGCTCCGCCGGCAGCGGCGGCGGCTACCAAAAGCGGCTCCCTGGCCAGCGCTCCGCCGGCGGCTACCAAAAGCGGCTCCCTGGCCAGCGCTCCGCCCGCAGCGGCGGCAGCTACCAAAAGCGGCTCCCTGGCCAGCGCTTCGCTGGCGGCAACGGCTACCAAAAGCGGCTCCCTGGCCAGCGTTCTACCGGCGGCTTCCAAAAGCAGCTCCTTGGCCAGCGCTCTACTGGTGGCTTCCAAAAGCAGCTCCCAGGCCGGCGCTCCACCGGTGGCTTCCAAAAGCAGCTCCCAGACTAGTGAAAGTCCCGCTAAAGCGTCATGGAAGCCATTAACAAGTGAAGATGCAAAAGAAAGACAGCCTTTTTTCAATAGACTGTACAAATCTGTGGCCTGGAAGTTGGTTGCTGTTGGAGGTTTTAGTCCCAATGTCAATCATGCAGAACTTCTAAACTCATCCATTCAGTCTGTGAAAGCCACTTTAGATGTAACTTTTGTTCCACTGAAGGAACTTGCAGACTTACCTCAAAATAAAAGCTCTCATGAAAATATAGTTTGTGAACTGAGGTGCAAGAGTGTTTATTTGGGTACTGGCTGTGGAAAAAGTAAGGAAAATGCCAAAGCTATAGCTTCAAGGGAAGCTTTGAAATTATTTCTAAAGAAGAAAGTTATTGTAAAGATATGTAAAAGAAAGTACAAAGGACGTGAAATTGAAGATTTGGTACTTCTTGATGAAGAATCAAAACCCTCAAATTTACCCCCAGCTTTAAGAAATCCTCAAGAGATCCTGTAGGACACAAGAACTGAGGGTTACTTTTGTACTCTGAAAATGTAGGCTTCCAGATATTTTGTATTTCTCAGTTTTGCAGAACAACTACATTATTGTTCCTTTCACGCGGTAGCAATTGTAAATAACTTCTTATAGATCACAAGAAGTGTGCATTTAAAGGTATGCCTTAATATAGAGCACACTAGCGTGCTGTTTTATTTGCTAAATAGTCTACCTAAGTCTTCTATTTTTAATTAAAAGATTAAGGTACAATTTGATTAAAGTCTAATAATTTTGTAATTCTTACAATTTGGTGGTAGTGTGCTCAGTTGTCTACCATGTCTTTTTAGCTGCATAGGAATGTATATAGGGACCATAGTACTTGAATGGTTGAAAGTTGTTAAATTTCAAGGAAAAGGTTGTCAGTTTGAAATTTGTTGCCCATAATGTTCACTATTCTTGTTTAAAAGAGAGAAAATAGTTGGCTGACTATTTTTATGAAAAGTTGTAACATTTTAAAGTTAATCCTAAAATAATATGTGATCCTGTTTAACATTATTACAATAGCAAATTGTCAGTAAATAATAATCAGGGTGATTTCAACCACCAAAACTCTTTAAGCAAATTAAACTTGTGAAATACCATTTACACTTTGTTTTTCAGATAAACATGGATTTCTATATAAGCATATTTTATGACTGCTACTATTAAAAATAATAAACTTCTGGGATATCCTCACTTTTAATATTTTGTTTTGGATGTTAAATGCTTTGAAAACTGACCATTTTGATAAATGTTAGTAACATCTTTTTTGAAAAAAAATCTTAGACATTAAACTGGGTCAGAAGCATCTGTGAAAATGATCAACAGAGCAGTACTTCTTTTTTTATATAAAAAGAAAAACGTACACTCGCTTCAGTGTGGATGGGTTTCAAGGTGTAGTTACTGGTGGTTCTTATTGTTTTATTAAGATGCACAAGAGATACTAATGTAAAACTAGAATAACAATATTTTCCAATAAATAATGGAATGTATACTATTCCCACTCTATCATCAATTAAATGTGGGGCAGAGGAAATGCAGGTGCTTCTGTTGTGTTGAGTGTGTCTTCTGAAATGAGTTTACACATATTTTGAGCCTTATTTTACTCTGTTTACACACTCAGTACTCACACTGATATCAGGAAGCTTCATACAAAGATCAAGGGAAACCATGGCCCTTTAGGTGCAGCAGTCTGGAAAGAATTATAAATGGAGTGTATAAAACACTGGATAATAAAAGTAATGGCTGAGAGCATGTTGTTCATAGTGTTTTTTCAATGCTGTGAAAGGAGTTTCTCAAATTTAAAATGGTGGTAGTTAGGCACTTTTTCTATGTAAAAATGTGCTATCTCACTCAACAGATCTGCTCTATACTATCAATATCAAATTCTACAACTGGTAGCACTGTAGAACTAATAAAAGTTGAGGAATGGTCTACATGGTTCTCTGCAGTCCTGTGAATTGACAAAACTACTTTCTGATTCCCGAATCTCTGATGGTATCATAGAAGGCAGAATACAGCTTGATGGTGAGTTTGCTGCACCAACAGTTGGAAAAAAAATTGTCATTAGATTAAATTTGATGGGTAAGAAAATGTATTGTACAGATGGTGTAGTGGTTAGGGTACTAGCTTAGGTTACCGAAGACTGGGTTCATTTTCCTGCTGTGCCACAGGCTTGGTGTGTGACCTTGGACAATACCTTTGAAGATCTGGACCTTAGTCTCTGTCTCGGTTTCCCATTTGTAAAATGGGGATAATAGTACTTCCCTACCTCAGAGGGTTGTGAGGGAGGATAAATACATTAAAGATTGTGAGGCGCTCAGATTCTATGGTAACAAAAGCACCTAAGCTCTAGACACTTGATTGCAATACATTAAAGTGATTATTCTATAACTATTTTGCATAATGAACTCATTGGCGGTAAAGTATGTAGCTTATGATTTCAGTGAATTCTGTGTGCAGTGCAGCTGAAGAAGTGGCCCCATTCTCCTCCTCTTCCTCATCCACAAAATCCTCCTCTGTGTTGCGTGAGACTCTCCCTTGCAGGTGTCCACGGAATGTGGTGGGGTAGTAGTAGGGTCCCCCCCCCCCCGAATGCCATGCAGCTGATCATAGAAGCGGCATGTATGGGGCTCTGACCCAGAGCAACCGTTTGCCTCCTTTGTCTTTTGATAGGCTTGCCTGAGCTCCTTGACTTTCACGCAGCACTGCTGTGTCCCCCTGTTGTAGCCTCTGTCCATCATGCCCTGTGCGATTTTGGCATATATATATATTAGCATGTATATCTTCTTTTTGATTGGAGTTCTGCCTGCACAGATTCTTCTCCCCATACAGCAATCAGATTCAGTGTCTCCTGTTCGCTCCATGCTGGATCTCGTTTGCGATTCTGGGGGGACTGCATGGTCACCTATGCTGCTGAGCTCGCCACGCTGACCAAACAGGAAATGAAATTCAAAAGTTCCTGGGGCTTTTCCTGTGTACCTGACTAGTGCATCGGAGTTGAAAGTGCTGTCCAGAGCAGTCACATTGGAGCACTGTGGGATAGCTCCCAGAGGCCAATAACGTCAATTTGCGTCGACCCAGCAAGGTCGATTTTAGCGCTACTCCGTTCACCGGGGAGGAGTACAGAAATCGATTTTAAGAGCCCTTTAGATCGACGGAACAGGTTGCTTGTGTAGACGCATTCATTATAAAATTGACGTAACGCAGCTAAATTTGACCTAACCCTGTAGTGTAGACCAGGGCTAAGTCTTTTGTGAAGCATTTCAACCCAGGATTTTCATGGCTGTTACTGCACTACCTGATTACCACCTCAAGTGAAGAATAAACAAGGTGTCCTTTTGCATTCTTTATACCCAAAAGTTCATTGTCTCTGCACCCTAGAGACGACAACTCCCTGGGATTTAGTCTCTGCTGTTTTCCCATCGTGTTTATACCATAATGGCTTACAATGCTTAATTTACATTTCACAGAGAGATCCACATCTTATTTCCTTTCTGGAAGAAACCTTTTCAACTGTCCCTGGTTACAGACTTTAAAACATAATTCTAGTAAGTCATATAATCACCAGTACATACATTTCACAATAATATTAATGACCTGTGTGATCCCAGTTTTCATTTGATACCTTACAAGACGCTATTTTTGGATAAATACTATGAAAAACAGGTGTTCTGCATAGTGAGTTTGTCAGGCCTGTTAAGAGTTGCTGATACAGAGCAGTGAAGCCTTTGCTAGCTGGCACCAATGGTTGTGTCACACTTACGTAGCTCAATCTAACACATTCTACAAAACTAAGACTCAGGCTAGGTCTACACTACCCGCCTGAATTGGCGGGTAGAAATCGACCTCTCGGGGATCAACGCTCTTACTCCACCAGCGAAGGTGGGAGTAAGAGCCGTCGACAGGAAGCCGCAGAGGTCGATTTTGCCACCGTCCCTACAGCGGGGTAAGTCGGCTGCGATACGTTGAATTCAGCTACGCTATTCGTGTAGCTGAATTTGCGTATCTTAAATCGACCCCCCTCTGTAGTGAAGAGGTAGCCTAAGTAAACCAGACTCCAACATGAAGTTGTAAAGTTCATTGGCTGACTAGTGAGGCAGTGCTGATAAAAAGGATCTGGACTTGATGGCTTCAAACCCTAACATTAGACTTTTCTTTGTTTTTAAACAGTTGTTTTGAGTTAAATTTGCCACAGTCTATTCTTATGTGCTTGTAGCATGTGGCTTCAAATTTAAGTCCTAGGCTATGTCTCTACTGCAAAAGGTGTGTTTTTAACTTGAGATCGCTATCTTGATGTAAAATCCTAGTGAAAACAAGGCTCTATAACTTTTATCTCAATTTAACTACTCGAGGTTAAACCCGCGGGGGTGGGGGGGTGGAGGAAATAAGGGTTGAACTTGACTAATTATATCAAGGTAAAAACTACTGGTGCCATGTATCCACTAGGATTTTACATCAAGATAGCTGTCTCATGTTAGCTATCTCTATGTAAAATCACATATTTTTTGCAGTGAATGAATACCCTTGATCTAGACAAGGTTCTAGTGATTAGATGTTATAGGCATGTCATATATTACATGGCTATATATTCCAGTTGTTTGTCCTATTTAAAATTTTACTGGACTTTTTCCTTTACAGCATTGTCAGATTTCAGGAAATGGTTTGAAGGAGGCTGTACAGGACCAGGGACCTACCCAGGCAAGTGATAGCATGAGGCTTGTGGATGAGTGGAAAATAGATCCCTGATGCAGGGTACTACTGCTTCAGGTGGGAGCCTTGACATCTAGTTAAACATAGACCTATTAGATAATCAAGTCTATTCCTTTGCCAGGGCAGGATATTGTTCCTCTCAAACCTTCAAGGTAATTGCCCCTGTATTCCTATTCCATGATGCACTCCAGAAGTTAACAATCAGGTCTCAAGTCTTCTGGACATTACTTGTTTAGGGACAGGGACCCATGTTCTACTCACTTCTTACCAAAGTTTTAAGGCTGTACAGTCCCCAGCCATACATTGTGATATCTCCAGCAATCAGTGTGCCTAAAGGCCAGTACCTGCGCTGTGCTGTTGTCTCCAAGGTCAATGACACTGATGATTTACCAGTGACCATACAACTCTTTCTCAGCAGAGTACATTTATTCCTAGAACAAGAGCATCACAGAAAAAAAAAAAACATATAAAAACAAAAGGACTTAAATATACACTAAACATACCAAGAATCACCATATGGGAAGTCTGGAAGGCCAGTATAATTTCAATCCTTCAGCACAACTGGGGCCTCCTTGGATAAAAGTTCATTTCTATTTACTGGATCAGAAAGAAAGTGCTGAGTCTGTTTAAATACAGCTTTTTATACCAAAGCCTCTTTCTTTGTCTCCTAGTCTTTGGAAAACCCAGTTTTAACCCATATATGCAAAGGGCTCATACACCGTAGACTGTTCACATACATATGTACTGTTGTTCATATACTGTATATTTATTAATTAATATAATTGCATCTTATTGGGAATGTGCACAAGACTCAATGGCTGGGCAAAAGACTATTCCACAGTCTGATATCTTTCAAATAGGAAAAAAGAACAGGAGTACTTGTGGCACCTTAGGCCTGGTCTACACTAGACGTTTATGTCGAATTTAGCACCGTTAAATCGAATTAACCCTGCACCCGTCCACACCACGAGGCTATTTAGTTCGACATAGAGCTCTCTTTAAATCGATTTCTGTAATCCTCCCCAACGAGAGGAGTAGCGCTAAATTCGAAATGGCCATATCGAATTAGGCTAGGTGTGGATGGAAATCGACGCTAATAGCTCCGGGAGCTATCCCACAGTGCACCACTCTGTTGACGCTCTGGACAGCAGTCCGAGCTCGGATGCTCTGACCAGCCACACCCCGGGAAAATTTGAATTCCTTTTCCTGTCTGGGCAGTTTGAATCGCAGTTTCTGTTTGGACACCGTGGCGAGCTCAGCAGCAGTGGCAAAGATGCAGAGCTCTCCAGCAGAGATGTCCGTGCAATCCCAGACTAGAAAGAGGGCCCCAGCATGGACTGATCGGGAAGTCTTGGATCTCATCGCTGTGTGGGGAGATGAGTCCGTGCTTTCCGAGCTGCGCTCCAAAAGACGGAATGCAAAGACCTATGAGAAGATCTCTAAAGCCATGGCAGAGAGAGGCTACAGCCGGGATGCAACGCAGTGCCGCGTGAAAATCAAGGAGCTGAGACAAGGCTACCAAAAAACCAAAGAGGCAAACGGACGCTCCGGATCCCAGCCCCACACATCCCGTTTCTACGAGGCACTGCATTCCATCCTAGGTGCGGCCGCCACCACTACCCCACCACTGACCGTGGACTCTGAGGATGGGATATTGTCCGCGGCCGGTTCCTCCGACATGTTAGCGGACGGGGAAGATGAAGAAGGAGATGAGGAGGACGAGGCAGTCGACAGCGCTGGCACCGCTGATTTCCCTGACAGCCAGGAGCTCTTCATCACCCTCACAGAGATCCCCTACCAACCGTCCCCCGCCGTTACCCCAGACACAGATTCAGGGGAAGGATCAAGCAGTAAGTGTTTTAAATATCTTAACATTTATTTATAACAGAACTTGCATATTTTAAATATTAACAATAGCTAAAGTGCTTTCAAGTATGTAAACTTTTATTTATAACAGAACAGGAAGATTTGAAATATTAACAATGGGTAAAGTGCTTCTAAACATGTAAACAGGAAAGTGCA